TGCAGAACAATTATTTTGTGTATGTTTGACAAGTGATATTCAAATAATGCCTGGGGTGGGGGGGAACGAACATGGGAAATCTGCTTCTACTACTGGCTCTGACATTCTCTATCTGTGACACTGGCCCATGAGAGTGATGAACTCAATCAGTGGTTCCCAAACACAAGTCCATGGACCAGTGCCAAGCTAACCTCAAAGCAACCTGGGGAGTTTAGGAAATAAAAGGTAATTGGGACTTCCTCCCTCCACTCCCCGACCCCAACGTTCAAAAACTCAAGAGTAATGCCAGACTATTTTTTAAAATTCCCCAGGTGAACCTAATGATCAACAAACTTTGGGAATCACTGAGCCAAATTACCTCAAGGGTTCTTTCCACTGCTAAGATTCTGAGCATTCTCCTCTGTCCAGTAATGAGGCCATCTCTCTGAACAATATGAGCTAGAAACTTCAAAGGATTTTATCATTAATTTCATCTATGTCAAAACATACAATTAACAAACCAAGTAAACTGTGTAAACTTTTATTGATCCTGGTTTTCAAAAAAAAAAAAAAAATTTTAGGCAGTCTGGGCCAACTGGGGAAATGTGAATACAGGTCGAACATTAGAGGATAATACAGAATTATTTTTCTTGGCTGTAATAATGATAAAACTGCGGTTATATAAAGGGAATGACCTTACTCCTAGGAGACACATGCTTACATATTTAGGGGTAGAAGTGTCGATGTCAACAACATACTATCAAATGGTTAAGTGAAGAAAAAAAGGATAAAGCAAATGTTAAAATGTTAAAATGTTAAAAGCATAAATGGCAAATGTTAAAATGTTGACTCTACTGTCCAACTTTCCTATATGCTTACATTTTTTTGTAATAAAAAGTTGGAGAAAAGAAACATAGGCACACTTTCATGAATTGCCACCTAAATGGAGATGACTGCTGCACATTCCAAGAGCTGATTGAGCCATGGCAAAATCCCTCTCGGTCTCTGAGGCCATCTTTGCCTAGGCTCCGCAGCAGAAACCCTGCTTCAGCATCTCTGCATAATGCTCTACTCCCCAATTCAGAGAAAATGGTGCCAGGGTCACAGCTTTCAGCCCACACAGGTGAAAGGGCACCTTGCTGGCAAGCAGTACTGGGAATGCAAAGGCCTATGGAAAGAATATTTTTAAAGGACTCAAAGGAAGTAGACATCTTGAAGTCCCAATGATCAGCTTCCAGAATTTGGAAGCAACTAAAAGTACAGGTTTTGGAGTTAGCGCTGGCCTGGGCCCACTCCTACATTTGGCCCCTTCCCAGCTCTGCCTACTTGGCCAGCTCACTCGTCCACTCTACTCTTCAAGGAACAGTTCTATGTGCAAGGCACTGTTCAAGCTTTAAATGTCCCTAAGCTATGTTCTTCTGGTATGTAACTGGAGTGATGAGAGCACGTCCCTCAGAAAGTGAGAATTAAGAAGAACAGCAGTGTCCATCACATGTGATGACTCAATACTTTCAACTACCTACCAGAAAGATAGTTCACATACATATGACTGCTTTGTAGAGGGCACGCTGTTCCTGGCAGTATTGCTATTATTCTTTGGTCAAGAAAAACTATTATTGTTTCTAGGTGAAGATGGCAGAATGTACATCGGCATCTCATTTTGCTCACTCTTGAAACTTCATTAAAAGTACAATAAACGTCGTTGTTAAAGTCATAAACTCCTAATGACAGGAAGAATAAAAGAGGAGATAACAATAAAATTCGGGAAAGCATATGGACAATGTTAACTGACTCAGCACATCCAAGAAAGCTGAATTCCAAAGCCAGCCGTGGGGAAAGCTGAGAACCAACCCAGTAAAGACTAGATCCAGAAAAGTTAGATCCCCAGATCCTCTTTTCTCTTCATGATGCTGGCAACTGCTTCTTCCATATCCTACCCAAAGTCTGCGGTTTCCCCCTGTTTCTTGTGTTCTGGCACAATGGAATATTAAGTATCATACTGAAAATTGGACACACAGGACTGCTGAAATTCTGTTCTAGCTCAGGAAATTGGCAGCCAGATGCTTTCCTTCCAGATAGGAAGGTGGAAAACTATACAAAGAAACATAAAACAAGTCATTATGACCTCAGAGATCAGAGAAAGAACATATTGCATCTATTAAACAAGAATAGGATGCTGTCATAAGAAACATTCAGACTAAAAAACAGACTTTGGAAATTAAGAACATGATCGTGGAAATTTTTTTAAAAATCCAAATAGAAGGATTGGGAAATAAAACTTAAGAAAACCTAGCAGTAAGTAGTTAGAAAAGCACAGAAGAAAACATAAGAAAATTAGAAGACTTTTCATAGGTAAACATGTAAATATCAGGTGTTTCAGAAGAGAGACTACAGAGAAAACAGAAGAAAAAAAAATAACAGAATATTTCAAGAAAATCTCTCCAGAACAGAGGTTTTAAAGGGCCTCTCAAATACTCAACCTATTGGATGAAAACAGACCCACACTAAGACACATCATTTTAAATTTTAAAACACAAAATTTCAAAATGTAGATTCCATAAGTTTGTAGAGAGAAAAAAATATAGGTCACATACAAGGGAGCGGGAATCATAATAGCTTGGAATTCTCAAAATCACTGGAAGCAAGATGACAATGAAGCAATAACTTCAAAATTCTGAAGGAAAATTATTTCCAACTAAAATTGTATTACCAGCCAAAATATCAATCAAGTATGAGGATAGAATCAAAACATAGGCAAGTTCTCCAAAAAATGTTACTCTTCTTGTTAAGAAGCTATTGGAGTTTCAGCACCACCAGAGTAAATCAATAAAAGAACATACAGGAAAGATTCAACACAGGAGAGTGAAGGAGAAGCCAGCTGTGCCCCAGACAAGGAGGATACAAGGCCAGATTGAAACAGGGTAACTAACTTGAGACAGATATGTCTCAGCTGCTATATCAGCAGACTAAATGCCCCTGAATCTGGCCTAGATTCCTGTCTGTACTCAGCTGAGTTGGGCCCGATCTTGATCATATGCTCATGCAGTTCCTGCTCTCCTTTCCAAGCCCTGGTAGCCTACAACAGCAGAGGGCATTCACTTCCCTCACAGAATGGTTCTGCTTTGACCTAGCCTGCTAACTGCAGGAAGGCCATGGTGAGCTAAGAAGCAGAAGTACAGAGCAGCCCACTCCCTCTAACCGTATTTCTGCTGACCTTCCAGTACTTGGCACACTAGACCCCTCCAGATGCCCTGACTATGGTGAACTCTGTTTCCTAGGACTCACATGTATCACTGCCTACTGACTTCCTCAGAAAGGGCCCCTGTAAACCGGGAAGCTGAAGCCATTCTGTCCTGCTCATCTTTTCCTGGAAGCCTTCACCTAACAATGACAATGTTGTCCTTTCTCTACACAATCAGGTTTATCTTACAATTATAAAACAAAATTTTAATCTCAAATTTAGAAAGCTCTAGCATTTTCTAAGCTTGTTTGGATCTCATCTGAGCTCTGGGAAAAGAACTTTGTTATCACCGTTTATTTAATGAAAAAATCCGCTATTAATAAAAGCATAGTTTATAGTCCTGTAAGGTTTGAATTAAACTGCAGAAATTAATACAGTATTATGATTTTAAAGACTAGCACACACACACACACACACACACACACACACACACAAAGAACTAATTCCAAAAGTATAATTTTACAGCCCTGCGGAACATTAACCAATCATATCTAGTTCAGCAATTTTATTGAGACATTCCTTTCCCTATGGACTATAAAAATATCTCTTAAGTCCTCTTAAAACCAGCTCTTTGCGGCACTCTCAATGACAGTTAAATAAAACTTTAAAACATGCTATCTATTTGTATGAGAATTTTGTCTTTAACACTATTCATTCAAAACCAAATATATTGTTTAGGATGTGTTTGTGTGTGAGCATTTTTATGTATATATGTGTAAATATATGTGTATGTATGTATGTATACATTTACGTGTAAAGCTTATTTTAAAAAGTGAAGGATTAACAAAAATAATCAGGATAGAGGCTACTTCTGGAAGAAAGATATATATGTTTCTTAATCTGGTGGTGGATACAATGACGATCATCACAATAATATTCTTTAAATTATATATACACGTATGTCTTACACACTTTTTTTGTACCTGAGATACATTTCTCAATAAAAGAAACATTAAAAAAGAGAACAAGAATTTCTGTTACTGTTGGAAAGTCAAGCGTACCACCAGATAATATTGCATAAAATGTCTATTCACATTTTTTCTTCCTGAAGGGCCTCTCTATTCATTCCTGTCAAGCCAATCAAATGAGTCAATATAAACTTAAAGTCAACACCACTAAATGGTAACAAGGTTAATAAATTAGCCATTATTTAACCTGGTCCTCAAATTTTTTCTTGATCCAATCTCTAAACACAAAAAGATATACTGCTTCTAAGAAATGAATTCAAATCAAACAGAATTAGCTATTGCCTTTAAATTATAAAATTCTTTAAGTTACAAAAAGTGCCCTGGTGAAAGAGCACTATGTTTATATCTAAGTACAATGTTCTGTTTAAATTATCTACTTGAAACATCCTACAATGCCAAAAGGATTTTTATGCAGCAAGGCTTTTAATGGCTAAAATCCAGAAACAATGAAAATGTCCATTGATAAGGGGTGGATAAATATATTAACGTATATCCAAACAATGACATACTATGCAGCATTTTAAAAATGAGGTAGGTCCACAGTACTGATACAAAAATGTGTCCTTACATTAAGCCAGTTGCCTAACAGTATTATGGTATGATCCCCTTCTAGGAAGTGGAATTTCGGGTGTAAAGGATGCTAAATGAAGAAGTAAGGAATTTTAACTTTTTATTTGATAGACTTCTGACCTGAATGAATTTTTTACTTGATATTCTTCTGGAATATTTAAAAAATTGTTACAATTTGAATATATACTGTAATCAATTAAAAGGAGCAAATAAGGAGGAAAATGATAAGATAAATTCTTTACCTTGGAATCCAGAAGTGAATTCAGGAAAGACTAGCCAGTTAAGACTACAGTGATCCTAGTGGGCAGAGGATGGGGCTGGGGAGGGCGTGTCCCCCCGCTCTCATTAAACCTGCTTTTCCTGCGACATCAATATTCGAGATAACTTTTGATTTTCATTTTTAAGAAGAGTCTTGCAGTACTATTACCAGTAGAAATGTTTAATGTGTGTTCAACGTCTGAAACCTATACAGGTTTGGAAAAAGAGAAGACAAATAAGAAGTGACTGAAGATGATAGAAGTGTGTCGAGTTTGGGAGTAAGAGCCTCGGGGACTGTTAAGAAAAAGAATTTAGTACCGGTAGGTGAAGAGTCTGAGAAGAAGAGGTGGACACTCCGAAAAGAGAAATTCATGTCTTTGAGAAGCATAACGCTGTTTACACATTCATTCCGACGGGAGCCTTGAATCCACTGCGCCCCCGCCCCCAACTCACGCGCGCGCACGCGGCACTGGGCGCGGGGAGCGAGCACAGCCCATCTTCATAACTGCTCAGGCTTTAAAAAAGGTCATATATTTTACCTTTCAGATTAAGCACCTCCCAGTAATTAACTCGGAAGCCAACTTATTAGTTAAAAAGCCAAAACTGTCTTCCCCAGCACAATTACCACTGCTACAGTGGCAATTCTCTGCTGCTTATCGAAAAGGACACTCAATAGTTTATGATTCATTCGCAAAAGAATGTTGATCCTCTTTCATTTTCTCTTCCCTTCTCTGTACCTGACTCCCGTACGGAAAGAGTCAGAAAAGTCCACAAAACGCTGACACCGTTCCCAGAGATGGTTCAGGGCAACCGGGAGGGACGACGAAGTGCCTGAGTCGCCCCCGGACGCCCCGTGCCGGCCTTACACGGTCTCTACCCCCTGCCCGTCGCCCTGGGAAGCTGACAGGCTGGAGATGAAAACCTTTCCAGACCTTCCGGTGAAGCAATTCGATGGCTAGATAGAGCGAGGGTGCGACCGGCCCCGGCCGAGTGCGGGTCTGGGCGCGTCACGGCCACGGTCGGCCCGAGGGGACACGGGCTGGGCCGGAGGGGGAG